TGGATTTCTTCCATCTATGAAGAACAAATATCTTAAAGATTGTAACCATTGTCTTTTGGAACAAATAGAAATCTTCATCCATGGTCTTGATTTGCTGGTCACTATTTTTTTATTTCAATAACTTTTGTGAAGGCTACTAACAAAATTAATCACATTGGAACTTAAAGATAGATATGTGTGGGTTTGGTTCATTTGGGTCTACTTACTCCCAAATTATAGTTAAAATTGGCTTGCTTCCCTCTTGTTTCCACATGTGGATAGGAACGAATGTTCTGTCTAGTTTGGTTTAATTATTATTATATTTCTGGGGTACTTATAAGGTTTGGTAGATGAAAAGAAAATTTTCTTTACCGTGTTTTTATTTGCTTATTGTTTTTGAGACAAGGTCTCATGTAATCTGTGGTGGCCTCAAACTTACTACCTTGGTAGGTGGGGCCTCAACTCTCCTGATCCTCGAGAGTGCTGAGAGTATGTCTGGCTCCTTAGGCTTTCTGAAGCCCACATTTGAAAATGCAAGAACTATTATTAGAATTAGTTTCCATGCCATAGATAATCCCGAGCTCCACCAGGCTCTTTCTCCTGAGCTGTAGAGTTACAGACCACGCTCACACAGATTTATGCTTAGTTCTACCAAGCATTCCTTATGTAGAGATCCAGCAGTCTGAAGTAACTCAGTGAAAAACAAAGCTGTGCACTTCGACATAAATAATTTTATGCAAGGTTTATTTCTCTCCCTAGAACATTAAAGAAGTAAATATAATACTAAAAAATGAAAAATAAGTATATTGGAACCCTTAACACTGAATTAAGCTTCATTTATACCAAACAATACCATCATTATCTTGCCGCAGGTTAACTTAACTAAAAATCCTTTCAGATTTTCACGTTGTCAACAGAAACTGTCACACTTAGTAACTGCCTCAGTTAAAAAGAGACAAAGAAAGGGGAGGTTGTGAAAACACAAGTGATGGGCTGTGTCCATTTAGACCAGGCCTACATTTTTACTATCAATTTGTTGTCTTGGGTGGTTATGTATGACACTGGTTTTTAGAACATGTTTTTCTTTTGCCTGGGAGACATCAAATTTGATTTTGTAAAAGACTATATTTCAATATAGTGTTCGTGACTGTGTTCTTAGTTCCTCAAATTTTGTGCTTAGAGAGGTGATTCCTTTACTTCACCGTAGCCTTGACCCTGCTTTAACACCTTTGTTTTGCTTTAGAGCTCCACATTCAACCTACACTGCCCTTTTATATTAACTTTCCACCATCTTCCCCCGCATTGTCACATTCCTGAATCAAAGACAGCCTGGTCTGCCTTAAGGACTTCTAAAGAAAAGAGCACATAATTCTAGCAAGTACACCGGACAAGTTGTTAAAAACTGGTAAGCCTGGCAACTTCGGTACTGAAAATCTCTTCTAATCCCCCTTTGGCATGTCCCTTTGGTGGAAGCTAAACTCTGAAGTGGATGAGCACATGAAAAGATAATAAATTCCCTTTGCACCCACCCACCTCTGATGTAGCACACAGAAGGGAAAAACACAAATCAAAACAAAACACCAAGTCCCCAAATATCACACCATGTTTGCTCTTTCAAAACAGAAATAATAATGCATATTTTCTCATTCTGGGTTTTACACTCTTTTGAAAATTTATTTCGTTTCCCCTCTGAGTTAAATCTTGTGGTGTTTCCCCTTGGTCTCTCAGGAATCTAAAGCTTTAGTTAGGTATGTGAACTGGGGAATGGAAACTTCGGGGGAAAGAAATTTAAGTCTCCAGTGCATAGGAGCTCTGCTTTAGACCCCATGCCATCTTATTCCCATGGGCCATATTTTGTGGCTGTCTGCTATCTCATAGATGTCAAGGGACACAGTCACAATGCCTCATACACAAGTCTCTCGTAAGTAGCTGTACATGAACCATATGTTGAAGTTCAGAGTAACCCACTAGTAACTGTTTAATCTCCAGTTAACAGATGAGAAAACTGAGTTAGAGTGTCATTCATAAACATACCCCATAGCACAAAATACACACCAATAGGGTTGAATTTAGACATAAGAGATCTCATTCTCAACTTGAAGCTTGAAAGCAGTGTCATAAATTACACAGACATAACTGGTGGTTAATTGTTGTGGGTACCAATGTAGCCAGCACCATCTGTCACTTTGGGGTACTGTAATTTACAATCTCCATAATCTATAATAACAGGGATATTTTGTCACTGAATTCAGGGCTAGCTATCTGAATACCCAAGCCCAGTTAAATCTTCACTCAGTTTCCAAGTGCATTGCAGGATCTTCCTTCCCTCAGAAGCCATTATGAGACTGAAAAATCACATCTCCCTCTTTTCTACAAACTCCAAATGGATTTATAAACCAGAACATTTGTTCTGATCCTTTATCAGTGCAAGGATACATATTAAAGGTCAAAACTCACCCCACCCAAGTCCCCATGGGATTTAAAATATAGAGAATCCAAGTGGTAGATCTGAGTCAGTTCTTTGGAGTTTGGGCTGCTTATTAGAATCATGTGGAGAGCTTTGAAAATCCCAATGTCTGGACTATAGTCCAGACCAAATGAACAAGCACCATGGTGATGGGGAGGTTCACAGCTGTTCTTTACATTCCCCAGGTATTTGGAATGGGCAGGTGCATCTGAGACCATGTCTAGTACCTGCCATTTTGCATTTTGTCATATACTGAATAATGCACCTCTCCCATCAGCTCTGAATGCACACAAAGTCAAGAAAATGCTTTGGCATTTTAAGCTTTCCTTACTCCAAATGTGGATCATGGACCAGTAAAAAGAGTACTACAGGAGCTTGCTGGGAATACAGAATCTCAGCCCACCTCTCCAATTCTACTGATTCAGAAGAAGCACCCTCCCAAGATTTGAAGAGCTCTAACATATACACTAGGAGTTTTGGAAGCATATGTTTATAGCCCAAAGTGACCACCTACAGCTCAACCCTCAGAAGGCCACTTAAAAACATTTTTTCATAAGTATCTATTGTTTACTTCATGGCATTATTAGCAATCTGGACTGTTATTTGCCTGTACCTAGAGGAAAAAAGAAAAAGAAAAACAAAACTAATCTTCTTTTTCTTCTCTTCCATAAGAGTCACTCATACAAGGATAGGGAACAAAAGAGGCCAGAACAATTGCACAGCTTGGCGTGGGCTTAATATGTGCACTTTGTCATTCTTAAGAGTAGAGAAAAAAAGGTTCTGTTCTTACCTTGGCATTTATATACCAAAAGCGTGCTTAAAAACCACATTGCATTCCTGCCAATGGTTCTCTTAAGAATAAAATGTACCTATCTAAATAATGCCACACAAAATAAGAAATTTGGACAGTCAAAATTCCACATTTTTTTCGGGTCTATGTTTTCTAAAGATTTCCTACAATATAACAACAAAATGTTATAAACAAAGATTAGTAAGGGATTTACAAATAGAAACATCATGGTGTTTCTTGCCCACAGGAGAGACACAAGTAAGATTATAAAAATTCTCCTACATATGATTGTTTGGGGATAAATGATATTTTATAACTTGACAAGAGTTAGAACTGTAGGAAAAATTAACTGCAGTTTCCAGTTCACTGATATGAAAAGAAGACCATGCAATGCAGGCCAATTTGTATTTATTAAATATATTTACATTTACTTTCACTTCTTGGAACTGGAATCCAAGAAGAGTATCTTATTACTTGAACCAGAAATTGCCTTGATATTGATTGACAAACAGTATTTTCTTAAAATGCATTGAAAGGGTGATATGATTACAAGATCTTCCCTGGACTACTGGAATGGGAGAGAAACTGAATTCAGCAGGGTTCTTAAAGTACTGGCCTGGGAAAAAGGGAATTAAACAATTCCCTTTTCGTTAAATTCCCTAAATAGTATACTTTTATAATCACCTGAAATAACTTGAAATGAAAAGTAATCAAATTTGTTATGAATTAGGCTAAGGCTTGTCATTGGTTTTAGGATTAATTTCAGTTGAAGTCACTAGAACATGGGCAAATGTGTCCTAGACTTAAGGACTGAAAGCATAGCACAATGATACTCTCAAGAGGGAATGGCACCTACTTTTCCTGGTCTAAACTTAAGGTTAGGTGTTTGTGTGGTGATGGTGCTCCTGGTTAATGTGGCAATATGGTAATGTCACCTCTTTACCTGACTTTTCCAAATGTTAGAGCAGCTTCATACACTCTACCTTTATAGCAACTGCTGAGATTAAACACAAAATCTGAACAAGCCATAACTCATTTCGAACTTGGATAGTGTGCATATTCATCAAGACAATACAAGGTATACATAATGACAGAGCTGGGAAAGTACACACTTCTCATTGCAAATGGGCACTTAGGTCTCAGCAAAGGTTGCTCTTGAGGCTTAGAAATGGATTGTTCCCACCTGTAAAATTGCACAAGGAAGATGCTTCCCTTTCCCCAATGCAAGGAATTAAGTGTTTATCAAGACTCTTAACAGACATGCCTAGACGTTTGATATTTTGTCACAACATCATCAGCAACAAAGTAGATGATCTAGAACTGTTCAACTGAGTTATAAAGACAAAATTTTATAACATTCTCATTAAGCTTATGATTTTGTGTTGGGCTGAATTCTGAGTTATTGTGAGGCACATGCACCCTGTGGGCCACAGTTTGGACATGTCTGCTAGACTCATTTATGCACATTTTATTCCTTTGAGGTTCTTGCCAGTGATTTAGCATTTTTTCCTCCTGTGAACACCGTCAGAAGTTCTTGATGGTTCAAACAAGAAAAGTCCGGGAAAGTGGATTGGATTTTGGTAAGTCGATAAGACTAAAAAAATTCTGCTTAGGTAGAGTGATCAGAATTGCCAAAAAAGTTGTCAAAACCCATTCGTGTCATCCTGCATGCAAATATAGTTATCACTCAAATTCTTTAGAAATGGAACTAAAGAGTAAAATCACCAAGGTGACTCTAGAAGCTGGAAAATTGGGCATACTCACGAGGATTGGGAAGCCTTTCTTCTGAGTAAGTAGTCGACAACATCTGGGTCTGTCTCCAGAAGGCTGATAAGCACTTCATTCTGGAGATCTGGAGGAACCTGGAAGAGCCAAATGTTGAAGCCTAAACAAAAAACCCCTCTCAAAGATGCAAAGCATGGCCTCAGCCACTTTATGATAGCGTACACCAAGTCTTTGATCCCTTAAGAAAGCAGAGTGACTTATTAGTTCAAACCAAACCTATACCAACCCATAGAGCATGTTTAATTCTCAGGACAAACTAGAAGATTATCAGATAATCACCCTCAATTCAAAATGTCAGATGCCTGGAAATCCTGTTTAGTCATTTGGATGCCTCTGTTGCATACACTAGATTTTCCTGGCTTTGAGTAAGCAAACAATCATGGGTAAGAGGAATGGTGCTCATAATTTATATCCAAATGAGGACACTTTCTAGAGTCCACATTTTGAATTATGCTGAGAGGATGGACATAAATTATGATTGTCTGGAGATGTTCTGGAACACACAATCAGCTGATTTAAGTGCTCATATCCTTGAGCCACACTTCTTAAATTCTAGATCCATCATTTTAGCTGTGGGACTTTTGACACGGTACATTAACAAGGACTTATTGATCTCAGTTTCCCCATCTATAATTTGGGAATAGCAGTAAGAATCACAAAGAGGGCTGGAAAGATGGCTCAGAGGTTAAGATCACTGACTGCTCTTCCAGAGGTCCTGAGTTCAGTTCCCAGCAACCACATGGTGGCTCACAACCATCTATAATGTGATCTGGTGCCCTCTTCCGGCCTGCAGGCGTACATGCAGGCAAAGCATTGTATACATAATAAATAAAATCTTTTTTAAAAGATGCAAAAGAAAGAATCATAAAGAGTTGCTAAAGTGAATAAGCATTTTTTTCTTTTTTCTTTTTTTTTTTTTTGAGACAGGATTTCTCTGTGTAACATCCCTGGCTGTCCTAGAACTTGCTTTGTAGACCAGGTTGGCTTTGAACTCACAGAGATCCTCTTGCTTGTGCCTCCCTAGTGCTGGGATTAAAGGCGTGCACCGCTACCACCACCTAGTTTAAACCACTCATTTTGTGTTGAGAATTTGCAACAGCACCCGGTTAATGATAAACTATCAATAAACAAACAAATAAACAAAACCAAAAACCAATGCTGATACCACTTTGCTCAGGCTATGATGTCCATTTCTTACCTCCAAGTCCTACTAAATTCTTGTTTCATAATTTCATGGGCACTAAAAGGGACATTATACATGAGTACCACACTTCTCCCAGCCTAATCCTTAATGCATTCAGAGATAATTTTAAATCAGTCATGCAGAAATGTTCTCTGGGAGAAGATTGAACCCAGGTCTAGCTGACAGTTTTCTACTCCATAGTCCCTGTTAGCTCAAGCAAATGCAATGCAGACCGCTGGGAGAAAATAAATTTTCTCACACGTAAGTTCCAAGAGAAGAGTTTTCAAAACCACAGAGACAAGTCTTCTGAGAATAAGTGGTTGGTGGAAGAATTTGCCTTCTGCCTCTTGCAGTACTCAATTGTTCTTGAGTTTGAGAAGCTGGAAACAATCTTACTAACAAAAACAGGGATGAGAAAGCAAAAGAACGCCTTCCTTCTCTCAGAAATCTGTTCCTCCTACTTCATCCTGAATCTTCATGAATGACATTGCCAAATTTTAGCCACATAGCTCAAAATCTCCAAGGTGAATCCAAGCCTATGTCCTGTCCACTCCCAGTACTAGCTAAGAGGTCAGTTTAACTTCCTCTGTTTGTTACTTCTTCCCTTCCCTTCCATTCCAACAGCAGGGTCTGAAGTTCAAGCCTTCATTACCCCTTTGTAGTGTTCATCTGTTAGCTATTAGCACCCTCCATTCTCCTCTTAGAAAAGTTATAAGCTAACTCCTCTCTGGAGAACCAGTTACTCTCCAAATCTTGGCTCAAAGGTGAAATGTACCTTAATTTTTTTTTTTTTTTTTGGTTTTTGAGACAGGGTTTCTCTTTGTAGTTTTGGAGCCTATCCTGGCCCCCGCTCTGTAGACCAGGCTGGCCTCAAACTCATAGAGATCCGCCTGCCTCTGCCTCCTGAGTTCTGGGATTAAAGGCATGCGCCAACAACGCCCTGCTGTGCACCTTAATTTAAATTGACCAATAATTCCATTCTCAGAGCAGCATGTCTGCCTAAGAAATAGCCAAGTGGCTCTACTAGAGTTGACACAAAACCATGATACTGTCTGAAAGGCTTCCAGGAGAGACAACAGACATATCCTACAACCACATATAGCCTGAGCATTGTGCTGACACTTGAACAAGTTATGGCAGGAGCAGTAGGCAGATCTTGATAACATTTGAGTCCTGGGCTAAGCTATACTCAAAGTCACATTCAACTTTCAACTCTCCAGTCTTCTGAAGTCTCAAATTCCTTAAACTAGTTTGTATTTCTAGAGGAAAAGGAATATATACACTTGACGGGCCTTCCATGTGGCAGATCGCTAACTTGAATCCTATTTCCTTAAAATACACATCAAAATTCTCTATATGGTCAGAAGATATTCACTCAAAACTCTTTATATCCCCACAGCTGAAGCTACATCTTGTGTGATTTCTTCACTATGTAGCTCCCATCTTCTCCAGAAGTGGTTCGGATATACTTTATTTCAGCACCACTGTTCCTCTTTCTGGCATTCCCCCAGGTCTATTTTCATTCATTGCATTGATATTTGGTCAATGCTTACAGAATACCAGGAAAGGAATTTAGAGATTCCGTTACAAAGCAAACAGATAAGAATCCTTGTGTTTGTGGTTCTGGCAACAAACATAGGAAGATGGACATTTAAAAAAATTCACAAGGAAATCATAACATGAATCCTATCAAGAACAACAAGATGAGAAGAAATGCTGAAAGAGGTGCAATATTAAATAGGACAATCATGTCATGAGAAAATGACATTTTAGAAAAAAACAAAACAAAAAAAACCAAAGTTGGGGAGTCTCACACCAGGCAGAAGGAAGAAATGAATGTTAAGAGTCTTGAGTCAGGAACAGTGAGAGTCTAGTAAGACTAAGAGAGTGAGGAAGAAGTGGGTGGTAGAAGGGAAGCAGATAGCCAGGGCCAGATGTTGTAGAGTCCTATGGATCATGACTCACTCTTCTGCTCTTGATCAAAGTGGGTGGGGAACCATCAGAGATTTTGATCTGATGACTAACACAATTGCTATCACTCTGGCTCCTCAGTAGAGAACATATCGATTGGAAACACAGGGTTGAATGAAGGAACACTAATAGGGGCAATTGATGGGTTCCAACCAATAACTGTGATGCTGAACCAGGACAGCAAGATTGTGGGAAATGTTAAGATCTCAGACACAGTGAAAATCCTGTTGACAATTTAAGTTAATTTATTGGAAGGAGAGGAAGAGTATGAGAGGCAGAAAGAGAAAAGATGGTTACAACTTTTGTGGCTTGGGTAATAGAGGATGGAGAATCTATTAATTGACTTTGTGATGCTAAGGGATGAGAAGGGTAGGTGAAGTTCAGGAGTTGGATTTGATATGATAACACTGATAGGCTTGTGAAACATTCAAGTGGAAGTATCTAGTAGGCAGCCAGAAATGAGGACTTGGAATTCAGTTTATAGGTTGTGGCTGGGCATAGAAATGTGGGAAACACATATAGATAGCGTTTAATGCTCCGTGATAAAAAAAACAAAAAACAAAAAACAAGGGTCTGAGAATTAAAAGAGAAGAGAAGCAAAAGTGTGGAGATTTTCAAAGAATGATAGATCACATTCTCTTGCTATATTAAATAAATTAAGAAATGGAAAAACCCATCATTTTAACTGCATGTTTCAATAATCAAATAGATATACATAACTGCATCTGTTTTTTTAAAGGAATACATAAATGGTGGAATGAGAATTAGTTTTATTTGTTTTTTGTTTTTTATTAGAAAGAAAATTATTTTACATGTCAATCCCAGGTCCCTCTCCGTCCCCTCCTCCTGCCCCCCCCAAAACTAATGCCCTACCCATCCTATACCCTTTCTGCTCCCCAGGTAAGGTGAGGCCTTCCATAGGGGGTCTTCAAAGTCTGTCATATTCATTGGGATAGGACCTAGGCCTTTGTGTCTAGGCTCAGGGGGTATCCTTCCATGTGGGATGGGCTCCTAAAGTCCATTCCTATGGTATTGATAAGTACTGATCCACTGCAAGAGGCCCCATATATTTCCAAGGTCTCCTCACTGACACCCACATTCAGCAGGTCTATATCAGTCCCATGCTGGTTTCCCAGCTATCAGTCTGGAGACCAAGAGTTTCCCCTTGTTCAAGTCAGCTGTTTCTGTAGGTTTCACCAGCCTGGTATGGACCCATTTGTGAATCAGTTCTCCTTCTCTGCATCTGGATTTCAGTTCAGTTCAAGGGTTACCTGTGTGTGTCTGTTTCTACTTCCACCAGCTGCTGGATGAAGGCTATACGATGGCATATGAATTAGTCATCAATCTCATTATCAGGAGAGGGAATTTAAGGTAGCCTCACCTCTGTTGCTTAGATTGTTAGTTGGTGTCATCTTTGTAGCTCTCCAGAAATTTCCCTAGTGCCTGATTACTTTTTAAACTTATGTCTCCCTCTATTATATTATCTCTTATCTTGCTCTGTTCTCTTCTTCTACCAACTCAACCTCCCTGTCCCATCATGTCTTCCTCACCCTTCCTCTTTTCCACTTCTCATTCTCCTAGTTTCCTCCCCCTCCCCCATGTTCCCAGTTTGCTCAGGAGATCTTGTCCCTTTCCCCTTCTCTAGGGGACCCTTTATATCTCCCTTAGGGTCCACCTTGTTTACCCGCCTCTCCAGCAGCCTGGGCTGCAGGCTGGCAATCTGTTACTCTACGTCTAAAATCCACATATGAGTGAGTACATACAATGCCTGTCTTTTTGTGACTAGGTTACCTCACTCAGAATAGTTCCATACATTTGCCTGCGAATTTCAAGATTCCATTACTTTTTTTTCCCTCTGGGTAGTACTCCACTGTGTAAATGTACCACATTTTTTTTTTCTATTCATTCTTCAGTTGAGGAGCA